TTCGACATCGACGAAGATGAAACGCTGGAAACGGAGGGTCTACAGGGGTTCAAGGAGAAGATATTTGTTGCTTGTGCCGAGAGAAAAGAACAGAATCTAAGGAAACAAACCGAGGATAAGGAGGGTCGAGAAGTGTACAGAATGTTGAAAGGAGGAATAGGGTCCAAGGATTGCCTATATGGACCAAAGGATGCAGGCACAAAGCTTCAGGTCAAATTCAGGACAGGGGACATAAGCCTTCGAGAACGTCGACGAAGACATATAACGGTAGACGACGAAGACGACAAGTTCAAATGTGATTGCGGCTTCGAATGCGAAGACCGTGTTCATGTAGTCGCGGAATGTCCGTGGTACAAGAAGGGAGCTAGGGAAGTGTACGTGGCTGAGCTGGGAAAAATAGATGGGACGTACAGGGAGATGTTTGAGGCATGGAATGGAGAGGAGAAGATGGTAGCTGTACTGGGGAGTAGGAGGTGGGTTGAAAAGGCGGGAAGGGATATCGATAGGATAGGCAGAGGGATGACATTTTTGAGCCACCTATGGCAAAATAGGAAGGAACGATTGACCATCGGTGATCGGTCCTGTGGGAACAATGCTCCGTCCTCTCGAGGACGCGTGGTCAACGGTCAAACCGCCAAGGCATGCAAAAAAAAAAGTACGCCGCCCCCCCCCCCGAGCCAGCACAAATTTCGCCGCATTCCGAACTGAAAAAAAAAAAAAACGAAAGCCCCACCAAAGACCTTTCCTAGGTATCCCTGTCATTGCACATCCCTGCCTGGTTTCAGCATCATATCAACAGAATCTAGACGAACGTCTTCCAGGCCCCGCTACAGCTCCCCAGGCGGAGAGTACAAACGAGAAAAAACATTCCGCTCATCAAAAGGTCAGACCCAAATCTCTCATGTAGAGCATGCTGCACAAGTAGCCAGACAGACGACGGTACATAGGTCTGAACACATGCTGCTGTCACCTGGCGACATCGAGTGCTGTACAGCAGTCTGACCACATGCTGCTCTGGCGTGACTACATACGAATGCGTACGTTCTAGTGATCCAGATGAAGGCTGCCCATCATACGAAGGTCGACATACCTGTGCTCGGTTCTCTGAATGTTTTGGGTGGGATAAACCAAGGACGCGCCAGTCGATGGCTTTGAGGCGAGCTGCTCTCGCGATCATCACAGACAGGCACGCGAAATACGTAGGTTGTTCAGGGATTGAGATTCGTCAGCTTCATTTTCAGGTTTGATGAGACTCCTTCGCCCTCATTTCCACTCATCCCGTGCTCCTCTCCATGTATCATACCCACGTATCCGCTCACATTACATCCGTCATCGCATTGGGTGACACTTGTAGCCCGTCTGCCCCTCCCTGCGGACCACGCCCTCATCACCCATCCTTCGCATGTGTTTCCGGGATATCTTCGATGCAGAAACGACGTTCATCTTCCGGAGCACAGCAAAATTGGGCTTCGCCTCTGAACACACCACCAACCGCGCCATCATGACAGCCAGGACGACGTTGTTGGCATCAGCGGTGCCAATATCACCTCCGCCACCATTCCGTCAAAGCTGCCGCCGCAGCAGAGGTCGGCATGCGTCTTTGAACGGTGAGTTTTTACTGCTGGTATTGGTGATGGGTGTTGACCGAGCTGCGGCCAGCGAAACTCTAGCAGCTGGGGGTGACCTTGCATGTGCCATTACCACGACGGGCGGTGTGAAATGCTAGGGCCTCAACAGCAAAGGGCGGTTGGGGTACGAGGACACAGCCAAGAGTGGAGCTGACTCGACTACTCTAGTGCAGCGCTACCCTACGTTGACCTTGGTACCCGACGCACGGCGGTGTCCATCACAGCGGAGACCTACAAACCTGCGCCGTGCCTGACGAGGCAGCCTCAAGGTAGACAGACTAAAGGCCCTAGTTGCCGGGTATCGCTGAAAACAAAGCGTGAGTTGCGACAGCTGCATGCGGCCCTTGAATCCGCACACACATCCCCCAATGAGCGTGCGACGCCTCGTCATAGGGGAAGCCCCATGCCCCCTCCCTTGTGCCGCTCTTCCCCACACGCTGCGGGCGAGCGCAACAATCTCACCGATGCCTGCGGAATGGATGCCGGCCGGCCACTTCCGGGAGGACGGGGCAACTTGGGTCCCCGTCCGCCGTGGCTCGCTACATCAGCTCAACAGGTAGTGGTTGAAGCGCCCTCCCAACGCACCGGGCAAGCCACGGTGCTTCGCCACTATCCTCAGATTCCACCGGAGGTTTGAACTCGAGCAAAGACTCGGCGTTGCTGGGATTCAACCTCCGATGGAACTTGAGAATGATGGTCAAGAACCGCCGCTTGACCGCGGCGCTGGGAGGGAGTGCCTTGTTGAGAGGATGCAGCGGGCCACAGTGGACTGGGACCCGAGTTGCCCAGTCTTCCCAGAGTGGGCGTGGGCTGCGGCCAAAGGCTTATTTCTATCAGCGAAAGTACGAATTGGAGGCGGGGCAACTCGGGTCCCAGTCTGCCGTGTCTCGTTGGATCAGGTCGATAAGGTACGGGTTGAAGCGCCCTCCTAACGCCGCGGGCAAGCCGCAGTCGGTCACTATCTTCAAATTACACTTTCGCGGAGAGAACGAAGCCTTTGGTGGCCGCCCACGCCTACTCTGGGAGGATGAAGCAACTCGGGTCCCAGTCTGCCGTATCTCGTTGGATCAGGTCGACAAGGTGCTGGTTGAGCGCCCTCCTAACGCCGCAGGCAAGCGTCAGTCGGATATTATCTTCAAATTCCACTGTCGCGGAGAGTAAGAAGTCTTTGGTCGCCGCCCACGCCCGCTCTGGGAAGATGGAGCAACTCGGGTCCCAGTCTGCCGTGTCTCGTTGGATCAGTACTGGTTGAAGCGCCCTCCCAACGCCGCGGGCAAGCCGCAGTTGGTCACTATCTTCCAATTCCCCTTTCGCGGAGAGAAAGAAGCCTTTGGTGGCCGCCCACGCCCACTCTATGAAGATGGAGCAATTCGGGTCCCAGTCCGCCGTGGCTTGCTGCATCAGCTCGACAAGGTACTGGTTGAAAAGCCCTCCAAACACCGCGGGCAAGCCGCAGTTGTTGGCCATTACCTTTAAATTTCACCGAAGGTTGAACTCCAGCAAGGAGTCGGCGTTGCTCAAATTCAACCTCCGGTGGAACTTGAGGATGATGGTCACGAACCGTCTCTCGACCGCGGGTATCTCGGGTCCCAGCACGCCGTGACCGGCTGTACAGCTCGACAAGGTAGTGGATGTAGCGCCCCCCCAGCGCCGCGGGCAAGCCACGGTTATTGGCCACCATCTTTGGGTTCCCCCGGAGGTTGAAATCCAGCAATCAGCTGCAATTCAGCCTCTGAAGGACGTGAAGATGATCGCCAAAATGCGCGACTCACCAGCGGCGCTAGGAGGGCACTAAAACCGTACCTTGTCGAGTTGATCCAACACGACACGGCAGACTGGAACCCGAGTTGCCCCAGTGGGTGCGGGTGGCCACAAACGGCTTGGTCTGCGCGAAAGTGTTTTCAACCACGACGTCGATTCACAAAAGGTGGGTCTGCAGAGAGCAGGCGAGGGTTCACGCCACGGAGACGAGGCGCAAATCCACGGAGTCGCTGGTGGTCCGGCCACTCCTGGAAGTCGGGCAACTCGGGCCCGAGTCCGCCGTCGCCCCCTGCATCAGCTCGACAAGGAATTGACTGTAGTGCCCTCACAGCGACGCGGGCAAGCCACGAAGCTTGGCCACCATCCTCAGGTTCCACCGGAGGTTGGAACTGCAGCAAGCTCTCCGCTTTGCTGGAGTTCCACCTCCGGTGAAACCTGAGGATGATGGCCAAGAACCTTGGCTTGCCCGTGGAGCTGGAAGGGCGGCACTGGTATCCAACCGGTTCCTCATGGAGCTGATGCAAGCGGACCACGGCCGACTGGGACCCGAGCTGCCACGTCTTCCCAGAGTGGGCGTAAGCGGCCACCCCAAAGACGTGTTTCTCTTATTTGCGAAAGTGTTTTCAACCACGACGTCGATTCACAAGCGGGTTGCTGAGGTGAGTGCTTAGACAGCAGGCGAGGCTTCACGACACGGAGACGAGGCGCAAATCCACCGAGTCGCTGGCGGCCCGGCGACTCCTGGAAGCCGGGCATCTCGGGCCCGAGTCCGCCGTCGCCCGCTGGATCAGCTCGACAAGGTATTGGCTGTAGTGCCCTCACAGCGACGCGGGCAAGCCACGGTGCTTGGCCACCATCCTCAGGTTCCACCGGAGGTTGGAACTGCAGCAAGCTCTCCGCTTTGCTGGAGTTCCACCTCCGGTGGAACCCGAGGATGATGGCCAAGAACCTTGGCTTGCCCGCGGAGCTGGAAGGGCGGCACTGGTATCCAACCGGTTCCTCATGGAGCTGACGCAGCGGGCCTCGGCCGACTGGGACCCGAGTTGCCAAGTCTTCCCAGAGTGGGCGTGGGCGGCCACCCCAAAGGCTTGTTTCTCTCCGCGAAAGTGTTTCAACCACGACGTCGATTCACAAGCGGGATGCTGAGGTGAGTGCTTAGACAGCAGGCGAGGCTTCACGACACGGAGACGAGGCGCAAATCCACCGAGTCGCTGGCGGCCCGGCGACTCCTGGAAGCCGGGCATCTCGGGCCCGAGTCCGCCGTCGCCCGCTGCATCAGCTCGACAAGGTGTTGGCTGTAGTGCCCTCACAGCGCGCGGCCAAGCCACGAAGGTTGGCCACCATCCTCAGGTTCCACCGGAGGTTGGAACTGCAGCAAGCTCTCCGCTTTGCTGGAGTTCAATCTCCGGCGGAATCTGAGGATGATGGCCAAGAACCTTGGCTTGCCCGTGGAGCTGGAAGGGCGGCACTGGTATCCAACCGGTTCCTCATGGAGCTGATGCAAGCGGACCACGGCCGACTGGGACCCGAGCTGCCACGTCTTCCCAGAGTGGGCGTAAGCGGCCACCCCAAAGACGTGTTTCTCTTATTTGCGAAAGTGTTTTCAACCACGACGTCGATTCACAAGCGGGTTGCTGAGGTGAGTGCTTAGACAGCAGGCGAGGCTTCACGACACGGAGACGAGGCGCAAATCCACCGAGTCGCTGGCGGCCCGGCGACTCCTGGAAGCCGGGCATCTCGGGCCCGAGTCCGCCGTCGCCCGCTGCATCAGCTCGACAAGGTGTTGGCTGTAGTGCCCTCACAGCGCGCGGCCAAGCCACGGTGCTTGGCCACCATCCTCAGGTTCCACCGGAGGTTAGAACTGCAGCAAGCTCTCCGCTTTGCTGGAGTTCCACCTCCGGTGAAACCTGAGGATGATGGCCAAGAACCTTGGCTTGCCCGTGGAGCTGGAAGGGCGGCACTGGTATCCAACCGGTTCCTCATGGAGCTGATGCAAGCGGACCACGGCCGACTGGGACCCGAGCTGCCACGTCTTCCCAGAGTGGGCGTAAGCGGCCACCCCAAAGACGTGTTTCTCTTATTTGCGAAAGTGTTTTCAACCACGACGTCGATTCACAAGCGGGATGCTGAGGTGGATGCTTAGACAGCAGGCGAGGCTTCACGACACGGAGACGAGGCGCAAATCCACCGAGTCGCTGGCGGCCCGGCGACTCCTGGAAGCCGGGCATCTCGGGCCCGAGTCCGCCGTCGCCCGCTGCATCAGCTCGACAAGGTGTTGGCTGTAGTGCCCTCACAGCGCGCGGCCAAGCCACGAAGGTTGGCCACCATCCTCAGGTTCCACCGGAGGTTGGAACTGCAGCAAGCTCTCCGCTTTGCTGGAGTTCAATCTCCGGCGGAATCTGAGGATGATGGCCAAGAACCTTGGCTTGCCCGCGGAGCTGGAAGGGCGGCACTGGTATCCAACCGGTTCTTCGTGGAGCTGACGCAGCGGGCCACGGCCGACTGGNAAGGTTGGCCACCATCCTCAGGTTCCACCGGAGGTTGGAACTGCAGCAAGCTCTCCGCTTTGCTGGAGTTCAATCTCCGGCGGAATCTGAGGATGATGGCCAAGAACCTTGGCTTGCCCGCGGAGCTGGAAGGGCGGCACTGGTATCCAACCGGTTCTTCGTGGAGCTGACGCAGCGGGCCACGGCCGACTGGGACCCGAGTTGCCACGTCTTCCCGAGTGGGCGTGGGTGGCCGCCAAAGGCTTGTTTCTCTCCGCGAACTTCTGCTGTATGTCGAGGACCATGCGATGAAGACCAACCTCCTTTAACTTGCGCCTAGATGTGCTGTAGACATGCAGCAAATAGATGGATCGATCATCACCTGGCGAAATCAGCAAGCATCTCGTCGGAAGAGCAGGGACAGCAGTCGTGTATTGCAGCACCGGGCGCGGTTAGGAGCAGCAGCAAGTTTAAGTAAAGAGGCGGTGCTCTGCCGTGAGATCCGCGCTAAGTTTTGATGTACGCAATAAGTGCTTAGTTTCGTGTGTATGTTGGTGTGTTCTTACACCTTCCGTGTGGTGTACATGGTCTCCTTTAGGCTAACGACGTCACCTCCCTGCAGCGATTTCCATCGTATGGGTGTTGCTGAACCTCGATTCGGCATACAGTACGGGCCCGCCGTTGAAAAAAGTTCTGTCAAGAAAAAAGGGCTCAACATTTTACGAAAAATAAAGAAAAAAGGTCCAGGCCATTTGTTACGATGTTTGTTTTTAAGGCTGTCTCTTTGGCTGTCTCTTTTTCCCAATAGAGACGACCCAAAAAATGGTAACAAAAAAAGATGACCCCTGTGTTAGGACGTCTTTTTCTGAAGGTGGGGTTTCTTGATGATTTTCGCCGGCGTTCGGCGTGCGGGAGCGAACTGATTTTTGAATTTCCGCCTTCACTCACGCCACAGACCGCGCACAGCACAAAACACAACGCCCCTCTGCACCAGCTCCTCTGCACACAGCCACATCCCGTAAAGCAGACCATGGATGCTCTGAAACTAGATGGCGAACAGTCTCTCCCGCTGGAGTTCAACTCGTACGCCGAGACAGTGATTTCGATGCTGCGGGACAAGAGCTCCGGCCTGACGGACGCCAAGTTGCTGAAGCACCTCCAGAACGTGTGCATCGTGTACGCGTGCTTGGCGATCAAGCGCAACGCCGGGATTGTCTCCACACAGGCCAAGCACGCGGCAGCGGCGCAGGATACAAGGACATCGCTGTCCCTGGCTTCTTCAAGTGGCTCCAGGAAAACTTGGACAAGGAGGATTTCTTCTTGCAGCCGTGGCTCACGTTCGAGGTCATGGGGAAGACGTCCATGAAGGGAGGTAAGACACAACCAACGCGGGAGAGAGGCAGGTTTTGAGTGCGAAGACAACAGTCTTGAGGGAGAGGGACTGGGTGCGAGTGTGAACCTGACCCTCTGCGCCTTCATGATGTGCTGTTGAAAATGACATGCTCTACGTAGGGTGAAGGGTGTATGGTCCGGCCAAGGGTTGTTTTTAGGTTGCAGTCAGGCCACGACGGGCTGCTGCAGCAGCAAGAAGAACCTACATGCTGCTGTAGGATACCTTGTCACCGCCCATCATTTGAGCGTCAACCACAGGATGCAACCCGACACCAGTGTACCAGTCTGTGCGTAGCCTTTCGAGCCTCAGTTGTATGGCAACCGAAGCCCGCCCATTTCCTGGAGCATTACCGTAAATGACCCAAGATACCACACCCCCTTGACCGATTTTCAACGCTCGATTACTCCACGACAATGAGGATGCACGAACGGAACGGTGCATTTTCGGAAAGCTCTCGATGAGACGGTTTTAACGCGGCCATTGTTGTCATGATGACTCCTTTTGCTATTGAGGAATAGGCCTTTGAAAATTGGTCCAGGGGGTGTGGTATCTTGTGTCATTTGTGGTAGTCTTATTGAGAGGCATGGAGAGCAATGTTTGTAGTCTACAGCACGTCATCCAGCAGTAGGTATGTTTCGGATAGATCATTGCAAATGTTTGATTTGCTGCTACTGCTGACCATTAACTGCTACTGCTGTTCGACTGCTGTTCGACTTGCCTACCCCATGTTACTGCGACGCAGGCGCGGTCCTCTCCACCGACGGCGAAAAAATGTGGAAGCGGTTCGACAAAATCCTGCGCGAAATCAAGAAATACTACAACCCCGTGTGGGACAGGTGTGTCTGTCTGTGATCTTGTTTGTGTACGTGCTTGGAGCGGCATCAGTGCAGCTGTCGCGCTGCATTTTTTTTGTTGCATTCCGCGTGGGGTATTTTCCTGTTCTCTTGTGGCGTGCACTGCTGTGAACGAGCAGTCGACTGCAACCACGCCCTCCCGAGAAAACACGGTTGGCGTCGGCGGCGTTACTACTACTGTGTGTACAGTGGTGAGTAGTGCACGTACCTTCCGCCACAGAAGCACCGACGATCAACTCCCGTAGGCAATACTAAATGAAGACGCGAGGCCGAACACGAAGGAACACGAAGGATATTGATCAATTGTATTTGTTCTCAAGAATAGTAGGCGGTTTTACGGGAGTAATAATCAGTGATGTTGCGTTTGTTTCTGTAAAAAACGCCCACATGCGCCCGTGTCTGGTGTGTTGTCGTGAGCATCGAAGGCGGTGCCTAGCGGTTTGATGTTCTTATTTTTTGTTGGCACACCAATGGAATTGCCGCACTACATGTTCATTTCGACATGTCACGTGCCCCGATCACCATACATGTACTATGCGGACAACAGCAGTGTTGAACAAATGCTCAATCGCGTTAACAGCTGCTTTTGGCGGCAACTCGCTGGCGTTTCCCCCCTCCCCCTTCAAGAAAGCAACATAACACCACGGGTGGGAACAGCTTTTGAGATAGGTGGCCCCAGGGCGTACAACATGTTGCGAAGAAAAAAAGTAGACCGCCCATCCCCCACCGTGTTTCCCCCCGATCATCTAAACTACGCATGCAAGTTGTCGCGGTGAGACACACAACAAACAACGATCACTCATGTCAGATATATTGTCGCACTCTCCGCACCAAGTCAAAACTGTAGTCACAAACCCTTGTGCGTTTCGCAGTGTGTCGTTTTGCACTCGGTACGGTGACCCTCTCCCTGGTCGGCCTACTCTAAGACGATGACGGAACTCATGTGCATGTGGCACACCGGTGCTGTGTCACTTTGGCCGATTGGCATGACTCCTGGAACAATGTTCTAAACCTCAGCGAAATATACAGTGGTGTGTATTCTTGACATAGTTTCCGCGCCACGGCCCTTCGAAATAAGTCGGATAGAAGAAAACCGATAGAAAATAGTAAGACCAGTGGCGACATGGGTGTGAACTGCTGCCCGTCAACATTCGAAATATGTGTCACCTTTGCGCGTACACACGAGCGAGAGTGCGTTACGATCGCTGCCAATCTCACCCGTTCTTCCTACCTCGCTCTACCTTGTTCCCGTGCACCCCTGGCCCAGTTTCGTCCAACGACAACCTGGGGACCAACAACCTTCGGGCAGCCAAGACGAAGACGCCATCGAGTACCTTCTGGGCGGAGTCTACCACATATAATCCGGAACGGGGAACGCAGAGGACCCGATCGAATTGGAAGAGAGGGGTGGCGGTGAGGGAGAGGGTTCGGAAGATGACTCTGGGGAATCGTCACCGACGGAGAGCGAGAACGGCGGGAGTGGAAAGCAGAAAGGAAAGGAGGAAGCAGTGGAGCCACAGGAAAGCAGCGGTGATGACTCACCGGCGGGGGAGGGGGGGATGAAGAAGGAGCCAGAAGACGATACGCCGGGCAACGGGGATAATGCCCCCTCCGAAGAAATCACACGAGAAGAGGGCGGGTTTCCGCAGAGGCCCAACAAGTGGATGCACCAGTATCTCCTGACATTCTGTTTGATCGGAAGGCCATGCAGCAGCGAGGACCCTGACCTCCGAACCGCACGCAAAACATCCGGACCCAACGGTCGCGGCGCGTCC